ACTTATCAGCACTAATCATGGGTTCGAGCAAAACCAGCAAATTTAAATTATGAATTCTACAAAGATTTTTCACTCTTGTTTTCGAAACTTTACCACCAATCCCCCTCACATTCCACACAATCATTTTAAACATTACCATATTTAGCAGAAGCTTGAGCCCGTGTAGATCTAGTATTAGCCGGAGAGAAATTCTTACCTTGCTTGCCTTTTTTCTTACCTCCCTTTAGAATCCAATCATCTTCCGTAACATTTTTTTCCTTCATATTCGGAGAAGTAACCAAAATATCCTTTTTAGACTTACCAGCACCTTCATTGAATGAAGGAGGAAAAAATTCTCCTTCTTCAACCGATCCAGCGTACATCCCTCCGCTATGTAGCTCCACCCTATTTTCCTGATTCAATAAAAGATCATTTTCAATAGCTACAGAGTTAGAATTGACCGGCATTTCATTTAATAATTCATTCACCAAAATAAAAATTTTTGGTTCCTTTGAAGAGGAGGAACTAGCTTCCGTTTCACTAGAAGCCTCCTTAGATAGAATCTCCTTATTAGAATTCTTTAAGGCCAAGTTCTCTTGTGATTCAATAATCTCTCTATCTATCTCACAATTTCCTCCATCCTGATTTAACTGATAATTAGGGTCCATCTGAGGCGGTTCCACCGGAATAGCCAAAATATCCTCTGTTCCGTTCTCGGTAGGCATCTCATTAATCTCAGCCTTCTTGGCAGAGGCAGGCCTCGACTTCACGTAATTACCAGTTCTTTTCAAATCAGGATGAAGTTTGAAGCAATCCATCTTCGCATGCCCGTGCATTTTACAGTGTGAACAAAATTCTGGTATTTTTTTCAAATTCTGCTTTTTGCAAATAACCATAGGCCTTAGAACCAACCCACACCTCCTTGGGGTGTGTTAAAGAAATGTCCACTTCCACCAAAACTCTCGCCACCGACGGACGAGTTCTTGAAGCTGTAGCCTGATTGGTCTGTAACGGTCTACCAAAAATAGAACCCAAAGCATGCAAAACCGTTGAGTTAAAGAAATGTAACCGAAGATTTGGAAAAGAAATCCAAATAGGGACGATAGGCGATTCTTCCTTAATATCGAAAAAAGGCGTCCATTTAAGAACACGCATTTGACAGTTGTGAATAAAATAGGATCTTCTAGCAAACACTCTACTGTAATCTAAATCATTAGATAATTGGATGGCCACATGCTTAGTATCCAACAATCCAACCGAGTAAAAACCCGACAATTTCAGAGCAGCAAAAAAATTTCGAATCGTGTCAAGGTTCGGTCTACGCAAACCAAATTTCCCAACGAGCGTGAATTGAAAAGGTGATACAAGTTTAAGAACCTCTTCATCCGAAAGTAAAACAGCCGGGACACCATTAAAACTAGATTTTTGCACAATCGGAGAAATATCACCTGAAGGCGCGTTACCGGCTAGAACATCTTTAAATGATCTAGATCTAGGAGGAGAAGAAGATCCGTTCGGGTCCAGACGGAAAAACCCCTTTTTCTTCGGCACCTCCATCTCAGAAGCTTTTCCCCACGGATTCCCCGGAGGAACCCCCGCCATGAACAACAGACGCCCAGCAGGGCCAATAAATCACCCTACCAAAACACCAGAAACAAAAGACGAGCACCAGAGCGAGCAGAGATCACGTAGCGGCGAAGATCGGGGCAGGATGCCCTAAATCGCCAGAGCGACGCACGAGAGGAGGAGAGGTTATTAAGAAGATAAATTAAAAGCTCATTTATGCCTTATTTAATATATAACGTTATGTAATGTTATATCTTAATTAATGTAAACTAAAATTTATATATTTATATATAAATTACACCTATTATATCTTAATAAATTTTATATATTTTTTAAATTCCCACCTGCCACCTCTCTCTCTCCTTTTTTTTTAACACCCGCCAATAAGTTACTCTCATTTTTATTCTCTCTTTCGCCTGTCTGCCTACGTCTCTCTGTCCTTCGTGGCCACAAGAAAACCAAGTAAAAAAACGGGTGGTTTAGTCCCACTCTGTGAAATCTTAGAAGGATTTGCACCATATAATAAGCTATATTGGCAAAGTTGTTTTTTTTTTTGGGGACATTTAGGCCATTTAAGGCAAACTCACACACACAACGCATACACATAGACTCGAACCCTGAACCTCTTAGTTGGAAGCCTAAGCTCTCAACCAATAGGCCAAGAAGAGTTGTGTTATTGGCAAAGTTGTTGACACTAGGCGGGCTAAGCTCGGCAGCCATGGTGGGCTATTATAATCAGGTTGGCTCGATTTAGAAAAAAAAATTAAGATTTTTGAGGCGGGTTCGCTCAGCTCGTTTAGTTCATTTAACGAGCCACTCAATTAGAAGCTCGATGAGCTTAAAATTAAACGAGCTCGAACTTGTTCACAAACTGAGTATGAACATTATATTTTTAAACGAGTTCGAACTCAAACAGCTATTGACGAAGTTCGACTAGCTTCCAACCAAACTTGAACATGTTTTTGACAAACGAGCTCGAACTCGAACATGCCGAAGCTCAGCTCAGTTCGGTTTGTTTGCTTCCCTAATTGGGAAGATGCTTGCGTGTATTTTTTGTTTGGAAAATATTGGTTTTTCTTTTAAATAAAAAAGATTTTGATGTAAATTTTTATTTGAATTCAATTGGAGAGTAAAGCTTTAATTAAAAAAATGTGTATGAATTCAATAATATTGGAGCTTTTATTAAAATTGGTAATTCATTTCAAAGCGGATAACCATGGTTTTAAGCTTCGATTGGGCAGCTTACTTTCAAGAAAATTTTATGCTAAAAAATCACGGTAGATAGTAGCGAGGAAACTATGCCAATTGAAGTCTTTTGGGATATTTAATCATGTTTTATAACCATGGTTTTAAGCTTCATTTGGGCAGCTTAATTTATAGCATTGTGAGAAGCATATTTTTTTTTGGTTTTGCGATGACTCCTATGATCCCAAATTTGTTATCGCAGTTAGACTTTAATTTGCCAGAAATTTGATGATAATAATCAAGTGATGGCTCCATCTAAAGTCTTTGTAGTGATGCTAAAGCAATTAATGTTGAAAAATTAGAATGGTTTGCCACCCCTCGAGTACTTAGTTCAATCCTTCACCCTTACAAGGCCTCAACTTATGATCCACAAAACCCCTTTTCATGAATTTTCTACACCAAGTTAGGTCCTTCACACAGCTGTTCATGCATAAGGTATTACATTGGATTGTTTTTAAATTAACTCCAAATTAATTTATAATTCAAATCTCTAACTTAAGTCTAAATCCAGTTTATCAAAATTCAAATTAAAGGCAGAAACTTTGACAAACTTCGAAATTATTTCACATTTCAATATTTTTATCGCATTCCAGCAACTCCCATGGCATAATATATCACTCAACTACCGACTCGCCTTATTTCAATATTTTTATCGAAGATGTTTGAACGATATGAATAGTGCTGAGTAGGAGGGATGGCGAGTCTATAAGCAAGTACGGAGCAAAGGGTGCATGATGGCTAAGAAATATCTAGGTGTTGTTGGTGACCTATGGTAAGCCTTGGACTGCCTTGAAGAGAAAGCAAGTGAAATGAGAAAGCATTGAAGATGTGCTAAGGTTTTGTTTGGGACGACTTTGTTAATTTACTACTTTGTAAAAAGATTTCTAGTTAAAATTTTTCTAATTCAAGAAATTTTTGTATCAGAAAGCTGTTTTAAAAAGCAACAAAAAGTTGTCCTGAATGAAGCCTAAGTAGTCAATTGGTTATGGGGGGATAAAGGGGATCAGGGCTCTCTAGGTAGGCATTTTCTGTAGTTGGACTCGGATGTGTGGGGGTTGACTGCACATACTCTGGGCAAGGACGAGTTGCTGTGATGTTTGTATTTTATTATTTTTATCTTGAAACTTAGTTTGTACTCCAAAGTACAGTCAAAGCCTTATTCAATTGTGTTCAAACTGATAATAATTTGATTATGCATGTATATATATATATATATATATATATAAAATTGATGGAATGTCCAGAAGATACGAAATGTATTAATTGAATGACGAGTTAAGTAACGGGGAAGAAAAGGAAGAAAGACAAGCGTTACATAATTTAATTTTCAATTAATTGATGTGGAGTTTGGCTTCTACTTAAAAAAGTAATAATTCAACGTGCCATAAATTGCAAGTTATTTTAGAAACGTTTTTAAGAGATAAGCTTGGAGGCGTAAGGATCATAACAAAGTGACATCATTTTTTAAATAACACAATAGAAGTTTTTCTTTCTCAAGTAATTGAACATTTGATCTCATTTTTAGTTGAAATTATTCTTTGAAAAGTTTGTATTGAGACGTCCTTATTAAAATTTGATTGCTCTGAGATGGTGAACATATAAATAATTAATCAATTTAATTTATATTGCATTAATTTCAAAATAAAAATGCATTCAAATAAAAAAATTAATCAGGTTATGTACTGATCATTTTATCATTATCATTATTGATGTTTTTATTTATTTTTTATTAATTTAAAAAATATACATGAGACAAATTTGATATTAAAAAAATATATCTTTGCACTACAGATGTGGCCATCTCTAATTGCCAATGCCAAGTCAGGAGGTCTTGATGTGGTACAAACTTATGTCTTTTGGAACATGCATGAGCCTGTTCAGGGACAGGTGATATCCTCCAATTTATTTTTATCTCCTTTTTATTTTTTAAAAAAATATTTTTTGTTCTTAGCATTGCAGCTAAATTTTTTTTTTTTTTCCAGTATAATTTTGAAGGAAGATATGACTTGGTGAGATTCATCAAAGAAATTAGAAACCAGGGTTTGTTTGTTAGTCTGAGAATTGGTCCCTTCATTGAGGCAGAGTGGAATTATGGGTAATTTTCTCTACAATTTCAGTCTTCATACTTAATTAGAAAGATAATATTATTTTACATACAATTAAGACATTTGTCGATGCTTCTTTTCTCTCTTTTGAGAAAAATAATTACACGCTCCTTGCCTTGCATGATGTGTTGGTTGGGATCATTAGCTACCAGTTAAGAGGTCTTGGTTTCGAGTCTTGTATATGTGATATTTATATGAATTTGTCTTACTTCGCCTAGATATCCCAAAATATATAAAAAAAAATGCACAGTGTTTCAAGCAACGATGTTTATTTTTAAATGTTTAAGCTCAATATAGTAAGAATAAAAAAAAATAAGAAAGTCAATTTAAGTAAAATTGAAGAAATATAACTGCTTTTTTCAATAAGTTTATTGTAATTTTGTAATGGAAAATAAATGTAGATGTATGAAGAAATAAATAGTAAACACATTTTTAGTTTAATATTTTGATGTTTAATAAGTTTATAATATTTACCTTGTGCTAACCAATGAAGAGTTTAGTAGTGAAAAATAAAAAGAGAATTTGTTCAAGGCAAAATTTGTATTAAATGTCTTTCTTGTACAGTTAATTTTCATATTTCCATAATAACATTTAATTATTCTTATATGATATAGGGGTTTGCCATTTTGGTTACATGACATACCCGGTATAGTTTATCGAAGTGATAATGAACCTTTCAAGGTATGTACTTCAGTATTTTGTTTGTAAGAATATCCTTTTCAATTATATTTTTTAAATACTTACAAATAAATATTAAAATTTTGGCAAAAAGAAAATCAGTGCATTTAAGCAAATATTTAAAAGATGAATATTATTATATTAATATTGAGTGATGCAACACCACAATGAAGGAAAAGAATAAGGTCACATAATAAGGTTCAACATTAAGATTTAGGCAATTTATCATATGTAACTTCCTATGCAAGCTCATTAATGACCCATAATCTTTTTAAAATTATTGAAAAATAATTAATAAATTTAGTTTAAATAATAATTTGATGAGTAGGTTAGGCATACAAATTAAAGAAACAAAATCTTTAAGAAATGAGTATATTTTAAGACCACTATAGTTGTTTTATTTGATCAATTTAATTTTTCATATTTTTTAGATCTTTAAATATTATTTTATTTCTCTTTTTTTTTTTTTAATAGGATAAATCTTCACTTCATGCAATAGAATTTTATTAGCTCCTAAGAGTTATCAAAATTATTTAAGCTTGAAAAAGGTCAATAAAAAAGATATTACTTTATACTTTTGGATTAATTGAATAAAATTATTTTTTGCTTGTGCAAATTTCAAATGGAAAGCTTAATGGCTTCTCGAATCTCCACTGAAGGTTTATGTCTAATCCCTCTGGGATTTAGTGAGTCCTTGGTTATCTTCTCCCACATTTATTACTCTTTTTTTCCAACAATTCTCATCTCCCCTAGATAACCTAAATTCTAGCTTCTCTCAACCATAATCTTTTTAAAAGACTCCCAATCATTCCTTCACATCACTCGTAACTTCTCAATTCCTCAACTTCCCAATAACACTAAGATACAATAGCCAAAGGTCCAATATAGAGAGATTATTTTCTAGTATGAGCAATCAAATTAAAAATATCATAACAAAGTGACAATTTTTAATGTTCTAGTTTTAAGTAAAATAGTAATAATGACTGTTGACAAAGAGAACTTTGATATGGAGAGAATTATTTATAGAGAATGATAAAAAAAAGGGGGCCAAAATAGTTAAGAAAAAAGTAATTAACAATTTCCATGGATAGATAAAGTTGAAAATTATTTATTAGGATAAAAATTTGAGCTAAGTATCCTTGCGATCATGGAAGCTCCCAAAGCCAGTGAAGTAGAGAACTCTGCAAAAGAAACTCCAAAAAAAGATATTAAGATCAACAGATAAATAAGATAAAGACCAACCAGCCGCAACAAATTCCCATCCTCACAGATAAAATAGCCAACCAAGAGCCACATAGAATATAATCTACAGGGAAACAGCCAGTAGAAACAAACCCCCAGCCCGTCTAACAACGTAAAAAACCAGAAAAAATTAAAACCCAACCTAGCCAATTAGAAAAAGAAAGGTTAAAAAAAAACATTAGTAAAATGAATGACCCAGGCAATACAACTCAACAAAAGCAAAATGAATGAAAAAAGAGACCAAAATAGAACCAAGATTAAAAACCAAATGCCAGAAACACTCAACAAAACCCCACAAAAACCAACAGACACCAACAGCAAAGGAGGACAGAACCAGAAGACAACCAGAAATATCCCCCAAGGCACCAGAAAAACAACAAAGACCAACAGAGGAAGGAAACAAATAAATCAAAGAAAAAGAAAACCTACTCCTACCAGAGAAAAAGAGAAAACAGAACAAGCAGCAACACTACAGCAAACCCAAATAAAAACACCATTAAGCATTGATATAAGGGACACCCAGACGATCCAAATTAATTAAACCCTTAATGTAATTAGGAAGGAGATTGAAGGAATATTCATTGACACTGTTAAAATTATCCCCCAACATCGCCAGACGAACAGCAGGAGCATTACCAACCTCACTGATCGACAAAAAAGAGCAGTTGATATCAGTTAATATATACTTAATATTCTTAATAGTGTAAAACGAGGACTGAAAACAATTGACATCATCTCTATTGAGCAAAAAATTAAGATCAAAGCAAGAATCCACCTCCAGGACCATGTTCCTGACATCAAGATTAACACAGACATTCAAACCATGAAGAAAAGCACAAAGTAAACCACCCAGGTAATCAGAATGCCCCATATTACCCGTGAAAGCAAGAATGAAGTTACCATAATGGTCCCGCAAAAGACCACCAGCACTGATAAAATTCCCCTTCTGAATGCAACCAATGTTAAGCTTAACGACATTGGGCAAAGGCTTGCTCCAAACAATAGCATTAGAATTCCTAGAGGTATGAGCCAACCCTTCCTTAATACCAAAATACTCCAAAGTAAATTTAACATTGTTGAAATGCTTCAACGCAATAAGATTAGCAGAAAAAAGAGACTTAACTTTATCCATAACATTATGAATAATCTTTTGATGATTCATAGGAACACCATTAAACTGAGCATTATTCCTATCCATCCAAAGAAACCAAAAAATAAGGGAAGGAATAAGGTTCCTAACATGCCCCTTAGTGTTTACAAACCAGCCTTCCAAAAGATTGATAATCTCAATTCCAGAACTAAAGAAATTAAGCTTAAAAACCTTCTCAAAAAAGAACCACACCTTCAAAGCAACAGTGCCAGAGATAAACACATGATGTAAAGTCTCATTGTGAAAACAACAATGAAATTTAGAAACGATGATAAAACCTCTCTTCCTTAATAAATCATCAGTAGGGAGATACTTATGCAAGATCCTCCACAAAAAAATCGCAATAGTAGATGGAATAGAATAATGCCAAATCATTTTATATATCATCGGCTCGTCATTATGGCTACGAAGAACATGCCAAGCATCCTTGGTGTAAAAATTGCCATCTTTTAGTGAATGAACAAAGAAGGATATCCCTAGAACTAACGTTAAGAGGAATATGATGAATAAGTAACACGATGGACTGGGAAGGACCTGAGCAAGTTTCTCCAAAATGTAGGACAATATATTAGTATTGTTGACAGTTACAAGTCATACATCATCCCACCCCTTATCCCAACCACATATGAGGCAAAAGAAAGTTAGCACAAGCCCTGCTACATGAAGTCACAAGGCCAAGCTCTTGAGTGTGTTAGCAAAGAATCATTAGTGATCATAATGGCTTGCGACCCATAAGCTTAACACCTAGGGCAACTTGAAGGCCTATGAAGGTGAGTAAAATGCTTATGCCCTTAGGAATGGAAGCTAATGAACAATAGTGTGGTTAGGGATAATCATAAGTAATCCTACTAGACCACGAGAGTGATGATCCCATGTTGAATGTTTTATAGAGATACACAATGTGCAAAGTATGATAAGGTATGTAGAAGGTGTGAGAAATAAGAGAGAATATGAATTATAAGATGTATGTGCAAATATGATTCTCCAAAAAAATAAGTCACTAAAGGCTGATGAGAAGACAAATCTCTAAATCATTGAAGGCCTTCAAGTGTTGTGACTTATTAAGGGAAACTCTCACCCATGTAGCTCTACTAAATGATTAATACTTGTGAGGCTACAATCTTGTGAACGTATATATTAATGTTGAAGGAAATAATGAAACCAATGGATTTAGCTAATATCAAAAGACAGTTGATATCCAAATACAAATAGTTGCTTATAGCTATAAGGTGAAGCTACAAAGGTAAAAAACAAAAGTTATAATATACGAGGTTCTTTAAATGGAAGTTGTAAATAGCAGTGGCGAGTAATGGAGATATTATTCACTCATGATTATTATTTTCTTAGCAATCAAGATAATAAAATAATGAAGGGGTAGAAGAACAATTAGAAAGAAATAATTAGGGTAGTTCTTTGCTAGTAAAGTTTAAAAAATCAAGGACATGATCATACTACAATAGGTAGGTGTAGAAGGCTCTAAAGAAGAAAGATAGAAGAGAGAAAACTAGTGGGATAGAGGGCTGGATAGATCAAAGATAAAAACGACATCTTTACTCAATTTTGGTGCTACTAAAAGAAAAATATTTGCCTATATATTGGCAAGATGGGAAAATAATTTAAGAAACATAATAAAAAAGAATATTTTCAGTGATGAGAAAATATTATAAGAATTAATATTGTAGATTCTTATCATAAATAGCTCATATATGTGATAACTTAAATATAATAATAATTACTAGCAATTAAAACATATTATGTGCTAGCTCTACTTTTGTTATATTTGTTCAAAGAAAGTTAAGTTGTATTTTATTGGAAGATTTAGTTGAATATAATTGAAGAGTTCCTTAGTTATAAAATTATCTCCTAATTTTTTATATGAATTAATCTATGTATTTGCATGTAATGCAATCATAATATTAAAAAATTAATAAATTATTGTGAATCAAAGTTGTTAATGTTTTTGTGCTATTCAAAACTTTTAATGTCATTATAAATAGAAGCACCTAATTGTTATTTCAATAAATAAGCAATATTTTAATTTTACACAAAAAAAGTTACTTTGATTTTATTTTGCTAAAATGTTGTGCTTATCATGTAGATGTACATGCAAAGGTTTGTCTCAAAGATAGTTCAGATGATGAAGGATGGGAATTTATATGCTTCTCAAGGAGGACCAATCATACTCTCTCAGGTCAAGCTAAAATTATTATTATTATTTTGGCTTAATGTTTTCATCAATGACTTAGTTATTCATTTGATATTTTATATAGATTGAGAATGAATATCAAACAATTGAGCAAGCCTTCCATGAGAAAGGCCCTGCTTGTGTGAAGTGGGCTGCAAATATGGCTGTGAACCTTCAAACTGGTGTCCCATGGATGATGTGTAAACAAGAAGATGCCCCTGATCCAGTGGTTAGTGCTATTAATTATGAATGGAATTTATAAGACTTTATATTAAAGCACATAAAAAAATTAGTATTAAAATATCAAGTAATTTACTTTCATTCATAGGCTTAAATTTTTAGATGGCAAACATGTTTATTCACAAGAGTATCAATCATGCTTAATTTTGACTCACTTTGATTCATTAACACATTGGATATACATTTGATGTAAGTATGAATAATGTTTTATTTCATATTTAACATTGTATTACCTCTACAGATTAATACTTGCAATGGTATGAGATGTGGTGAAACCTTTATAGGTCCTAATTCACCAAATAAGCCATCATTATGGACGGAAAACTGGACATCTTTGTAAGTAATTGTTATAATTACCCCTCTATTGCATCTATCAAGTAGCAAAAAAAATGTCTAAAACTTTCTTCTAAGATTCCAAAACATTCATGAGTTAAAATTTAAGTGATTCTTTAGCTAATATCTTGCTACCGAGTGTAAGAATAGTGATGATTTCAATTTAAATGTTATCAAACATCATATTCTTCAATTTATTGCAAGTTCATTTGGGGCACTGAATCCATTACGATTATGATGATTATTGTAAAAATACTTGGGTTGTTCTTATTTCATCATCCAATTGAGTTGGGATGGCTTGGATGGAATCCAACTTTTTATTTTTATTCTATCAAATCATCTAAACTAAGTTTCATATTTCATATTTAGAATAATGTTGAGCTTTTAAAATTTATTCTAACTTTGAACTAATGCATAGCTCTTTTTTTTTGAAGCTACCAAGTGTATGGGGAAGAGCCATACATAAGGTCGGCAGAAGACATTGCCTTTGCGGTTGCACTATTTATAGCTAAAAAGAAGGGGAGCTTCGTGAACTACTATATGGTATCGTCATTGCATTATCTAATATCTCTTATATGCCTTTTGTTATATCAAGAAGATGATATTTGATGTCATACTATGGTTTTTTTATGAATACATTGGATTTCTAACATAGATCGACTCATTATGTTAAAATAATAAGAAGAAAATAATTGCACTTAGTATGTCATTCAATAAAACTGAACCTCTTTATATTTGTCAATTCTTTGTTTCACTTGAAAATGGTGAATATTAATACTAATGTTTCTAAACTCAAGAATATTAAAAACCAAGAAAATGTAACATTAATTAAAGTAAATTAATGAAATGCAAAATTTGCTTTTTAAATGTCACATCTCACTACCAAAAAATAGGGTTTTCGCAGCATAAATTTTTACTTTTCCTGGCGGTTATAACCGCCACTACATTATTTGCAGCGGTCATTAAACCGCTGCAGATCCGCCGTGTTTGCCTTCCGCTGCAATGGCCTTCCGCAGCGGTTTTAGGACCGACGGGGTAGCTTTTTGTAATGCGTTTTTTTTGCAGCGGTTTAAACCGCCAGTAATTCCCCAGAATAATAGCGGTTTTAACCGCCACAAAGGCAAGCAAAATCGACTTAATCGGCGTTAAGCGGCGGTTTTCTGGGACTTAGTGGCGGTTATAACCGCCACTAATGTCCAGAATTTTTTTTTTAAAATTTTGAAACTTGCCGTTCACACCTGCAACAAATAACACAAATCATATATAACATAGGGATTTTTTCATGGCTTCAAATAGAAATTCATATACATAGATCCAAGGTTAGGTAGAATCATCAAATCCATTAGACTAGGAATTCTTTGATGTAATTAAGTTTGATTCATGCTATATATATATCACAAGCAAAATACAAAATAGAACATCAATTTCATAGAACATTTAAATGGCCTCACTTTAAATAGAACATCAATTTCATGCACTTTGCACTAGGACTCAATAAATAATTCATATTGATTTAAATCGTTTTTATGTTTTTTTAAAAGTATTTTGCAGCGGTTTTTAAAACCGCTGCGCGAAACCGCTGCGAAAGCGCGCGTTTTTTGGTAGTGTCTATGTTGTCAACATCTAATACTTTTCATGTTTGTTCACACAAATTGCCATCCAATCATCTAAAATACATAGTTATTTCATTTTTTTGTGGCCATATATTAAATGAAGACTAGCCGCAACTCATGATCTCAACAAAAGGAAGATCAAAATTTTCCTTCTAGCTGTCACTAGAACATTTTTCATGCATTAATATCTCAAAATTTGCTGATATCAAGCATATTATTCTTATTTTTTTTAATAATACTTCAAATATATTATAATTTCTTTGGTATAATACTTGATGTCAAATGGCAGAATAGATGAAAATCATAAGAATCCTAAATGTATTAGGATTATAAAATTTGAATAATGACGTGGAAAACACAATACTTTCAAGTGCAGTATCATGGAGGAACTAATTTTGGAAAGTCTTCCTCTTCATATATTATCACAGCTTATTATGATCAAGCCCCTTTAGATGAATATGGTTAGTGTCGCAAATGAAATTATATGATTATATTACTTTCATTTCATTTAATAATTACATGCTTCTATCTTATAAACATATCTACTATCTTTTTTTTTTTTTTTTTTTTTTTTTTAAAAAAATTTTCTTTTTTTTTTTTTTTTTTTTTTTCTTTTTCTAGGTTTGATATGGCAACCAAAATGGGCCCATTTCAAGGAATTACATGCTGCAATTAAGCAAAACTCAGAAGCATTACTTAATGGAAAATATATCACCTTCTCAATTGGCCGAGCACAAGAGGTAAGATCTACATCTAACTTTATCAGTATTTACAGCTGCCTTTCTAGCTGAATTTATATATAGTCGTTCTATTACTGGGAATAACCAAAAGCTTCCATCATAGGCACATGTTTTTAAAACAGATACAGAAAAGTGTCTTGCCTTCCTCATAAATAGGGACTTAGCTCATGAAGCCACTGTTCAATTTCAGAATAGTACATATGAATTGCCTCAGAAGTCAATAAGCATCTTATCTAACTGTAACAATGTTGCCTTCAATACGGCTAAGGTGTGTCCAGAGAACCTTTTCACCTTAAAAATTTATTCAATGCTTGGTATCAATTTTCCTCTATGTTATTGTTTTTGTGTTTTTAAAATCATAGAATAAATTAAAGTTTCATGTAAAAATTTTATATGGTTCCTTCTTTCCAGATCGGTGCTCAATATGGCACAAGATCAACAAAAACTGTAGAAATTTTCAATCAAGCAAGCAGATGGAAAGTACAAATGGAAAAAATTCCAATTACTAATTCTTCTACTTGGGTAGAAAATGAACTTATAGAACAAATGGCAGCAACTAAAGATTCGACGGATTATCTTTGGTATCTAACCAGGTAACAAGAAAACTTTCAACCACTGGATATGTTCAAAATGTTTTAAAATTACTTTTACCTGGTGATCTTAAGGAAACCAATATTATGCACATTAATTACTTTCTCACATTCATTCAGAGAGCTTGTAATTGAAATTGGCATGCTATTGAGTAGAAAGGCTCTAACACATCAGATTTAACGCCAAAGTTTGATAATTTATTTCTGATCCTAACAGTCATGTTGTGTGCAGATACAACAAGACATCAGGCAATCCAAATAACATGATTCATGTTGATTCATTAGCTCATGTGATACATGCTTTCGTAAATAATGAATATGTTGGTAAGTTAAAAGGCTGTTCAACTTAGTATTTTAATATATTCAAAATTTAATACAATTTTTTCAAAAAAGTTCACGTGCTTTTCCGTTGTAAGTAATTAATGTTGGTTGAATCATATTTTCAAAGTGAGATTTGTGATGAAATTCAGTTCTTATAATGCAACAAATTTAGACAACTATAATTTCAGACATTATGAAAATGATATGATAGGATGACATAAACAAAATCAAGGACTCGTGCTGCTGGACACCATTACAATGGACTTAATGATGCTGAAATATGTTTTCATTTCATGTCTTATAAGGAACTGTACACGGAAGTCATGGCTCAAGGGATGCTTTCATTTTCAACAAAGCCATTTCTCTGAACAATGGACAGAATGACATCTCATTGTTGAGTGTCATGGTTGGATTACCAGTAAGCTTCTGTTGGTTCATCATTATTGTTTAAACATCAATAATATAAAAAAAAAGTATTTCAAACACTTAAATTATAATTGTTTTAGAATAATCAATAAAAAATAGTTAGAACGTTTAGACATTCAGCATTTCACTCAAATTCAATCAATTGGGCTGACTCCAACTACGATACAAAGCATCTTATGATTTTAATTAATTCCATTTAATTTTCAGATTTTGAAAATATCAAATAGAGTTTGAAAAAGTTTTGTTCAATTTATCTAAATCTAATGGATTTGGCTTGATATCACCCAACTTTGAATGAACTCGAACTCAATCAATTTATCTTTAATTATACCTCTAAAAAATTATGTAAGATTTCATGTAATATGCTTATCCTCTTATATTATATGCAATAAATAACGTAGTAATTCAGTGGATATGATTTCCAGTATGTTGAATTTTTATTGAGTTTCAAGTAATTTAGAGCTTTGATATGTGAGATGCTCAAACTCCACCGTTAGCACTTGGTGACTATATATGCTGATAACTCTACTATTTAAATTGCTTCATCTTTTGGCCATGCGGTTCAATTAATGCTATAATTGTGCTAAGAATATCTAATGTTTGAAATTTCCTTTAAAAAAAATAGAAGAATGGAATAACCAATAGGTATGTTTTACTTGTTCTCTTTTCTTGTACCCTCTTATTCTGTCTGAGTACATTCTATGATACCATTTTTTTCTATGAAGAATTCTGGAGCATATCTAGAGCGTCAGGTTGCTGGTATACAAAGAGTGAGGATTTCAAACTCAGAAGAAAAATCCGAAGATCTCAGTAACAATCAGTGGACATATCAGGTAGCAAACTCAAGCTTTTTAGTGTCTCATTGCATCATGGAAATAAATGTTGCATTTAATATGTATGTTCATTATAATGTTAATTTTTTTTCATGCAACTCAATTTGGTCTGTTGGTTAGGAGCTTTGGGTACTAACCAAAAAGTCTTGGGTTCAAGTCTTGCATATGTAATGTGTGCATGAGTTTAACCCAATGTGCCCACAGGCGTGTGAATTTTATCAAAAAATTGGGATGTTAAGCTACTTGGTGGACTTCATCTCATGAAAAAAAAAAAAAATGCAGGTTGGTTTGTCTGGAGAGACGTCAAATGTTTTCACAGAACAAGGAACAAAAGTTACAGATTGGAAGTCAAATGAGAGTTTTCCTAGTCAGCCATTAGTTTGGTACATGGTAATTTTTTTTAACATAAAACTTGTCGACAATCTCTCTTCTGAAACTTAAAGAAAATGCTATGAATCATAAACAGACAAGATTTGATGCTCCTTTGGGTGATGAACCATTCGCACTCAACTTAATCGGTATGGGAAAAGGTGAAGTATGGATCAATGGTCAAAGCATTGGTCGCTACTGGGTCTCTTTTAAAACTCCTAAAGGAGTTCCATCTCAATCTCTGTAAGCAAAGTTTTTATTGAACACTTTCAGTTTCATTATCACACTGTTGTAAATTTTCTACTTGTTTTACCATTCTAAGACTTCGTTTGTGACGACTTTTTTACTGCTACTTGAAGCAGCTTTTTAGTATAAAAATTTTAATTTTTATACTAAAAAACAGCTTCAAGAAGTAGTTAAAAAGCCGTCCCAAACGAACCCTAAATCTCAATCACGGAAAAAATTGATTTACTGAATTACTGAATAGGTATCACGTTCCCCGTTCCTTTTTAAAACCATATGGTAACCTTCTTGTTCTGTTTGAGGAAATGGGAAGAAACCCTTCAACAATAACATTGGAATCTATTTCAGTTACGGGTATCTGCGGAAGGGTGTCTGAATCCAATCCAAAATCTAATTTTTCGCTGAACAAATACCCATATGTTAAGCTTCACTGTCCCAAAGGTAGGGCCATATCATCCATAGAGTTTGCAAGCTATGGAAGCCCTGTAGGTAATTGTGATTCCTACTCGGTGGGAAGCTGCCATTCTGCAACATCCAGAACAATTGTAGAAAAGGTGAGTTCATGAAAACTCTTACTTTGCTTAACTTCGCATTGTAAAATTTTTATTTCTTCTAGCAAAGCAATTTAATGATTGATCTTAAAACAGGCCTGCTTAGGTAGAAGTGGATGCTCAATTCCTGTATCGCCTAGAAAATTTGGTCATGATCCTTGCCCAGGAACCTCCAAGTCCCTTCTTGTTGCTGTAAAATGCTAATGATCACAAGAGAAACATACATCTACCTAATTTGGTGCCAATACCTCACAGGGTCAGAATTTTTAACAAGACAGCAAAAGAATTCATCAAGCATTGGTTGGTGCACATATTGAATAGATTGAAAAAATATAGATATTTTCATTTGATGTATTTTTTTTTCTTATTAGATTTATTTTTACTTAGTCTTTAGATGGCTAGAATGAATACAATATGAAACAATTATAAAATAGATATTCATCAGTTTGCTTAGAAAGAAGCAGAAGCATCTCACTGTCTTTGAATCGCTTGTTCATTTGATTTTAATATTAAATGTATTTGTACATATCAGAACGAAACAACTTGAATTTCAATAAGAAAAAGGGGGCATGGTTACAAATATTCACATATCATATGTTAAAAATTTATTCAAAGATGCATGAGAAAGGCATCAATTTCAATAAAAAGATAGGTATGTAAAAGCAACATTGCCCACTACTTTTAACAAAGCTACGGCTAACAGCGCCTAACACATCCAGCCACTCACTTATAACAAACCAACTGAATCTCTAGCCTACACGTGTAAAGCTATATACTAATACATCTCTTTATATACACAAGGCAATATATAAAGGTTATAACAATGAGTTTTACATCAATACTGATGTATCTTACCCACGATAAGTTGCCGGAGGTGAACCTTTCCTGCGGAGGATCGCTGGAATAGACCTGCAAGAGGGTTAGGAAAACACATGCAATCCCAATGGAACAGTAGTTGCAAAAGATAGTATTTTCATATATGCCTCTATTTTGGTGTTTGTGGGTATATATGTCTTGTAGCACTACTAACTAACTTGCCATTTAAAACAAAGAAATTAAAAAGCTGAAAGGAAACGTGCATAACAGAAAGGGTAAAGCAACTAAAGTAGTGGAGTAGCAACGGTCTGCTGTTCACGCGGCTTAGGATAGTCCCATAATGTTGCCCTTTCATTAGAAGAGTTGGTCTCTGGTGAGGATAATTGAGTGTTTGCATCGTCGGGGGGATGATACTGATGGATATCACTCCCGTTGAAGGTGGGCGGAGACTGAATATGAACAAGCAAATCAATAATTAATGTCGGCGTTATAATTGATTTTCCGTAGAATGGGAAAAGGCCCAATCTTTCGGGGACTGAGCTTAGTATAGGTGTCGGGAGAAAAAGGCTCTCTACGGACACAAAGCATCACAAAATCTCCAGGGTTAAAGACATTGTGCCAACAATGTAAATCTGTTGCTTCCTTATATTTTAAGTTGGATTCATCCAATTTGGTATGGAATTCTTCTAAGATATTTTGGAACTGTTGTTTTGATTGAGCGGCGGTGGTGCTTCGCCACTTTGGTATAACAACAATGTCAAACAAATTATTGGGCATCTTAGTATAGACTATGCTGAAGAGACCCATTGATCTATTGGGCATAGAGTTGAAGGTGAACTCTGCTTGGCTCAACATCTCTTCCCACTTCTTAGGATGCTCTTGGACTAGGCACTACAACATGTTACCGAGGGTACAGTTAACAACTTTCATTTGATCGTCAATTTGAGGATGGTATGTTGAGCTCAGTTTGAGATCTGTGTGGAGGCACTTCCATAGCTCGCACTAGAAATGGCAAACAAACTTAACATCGCGATCGGATATAATACTTTGTGGAAGCCCATGTAAATGTATTATTTCCTTAAAAAATAGCTTCGCCTCATAAATTGCATCAAATGTCTTCTTACACAAAATAAAGTGCACCATCTTGGAGAATCTGTCGACGACCACCATGATGGAATCGACTCCATTTTTGGTTCGAAGGAGACCGAGAACAAAGTTGATACTAAAGTCCTCCCAAATGGAATCCAGCGTGGGAAGTGGAAAGTATAGGCCGGTGTTATGAGCCGTCCCCTTATAAGTTTGGCATACCGAGCATTTCTCTATGAACCTGGATAAATCATGAGCATACCGAGGCCAAAAGAAATGAACCTGGAGTTGAGCAAGAGTCTTCTCAAGGACTAAATGAGCAACAAGGCTACCAAAATGTGTCTCTTTTATAAGATTCTTGTGCCACGATGAATTTCGTATACACAAACAATTGGCTTTGAATAAGAACCCATGTTGTATGTTGTAGACGCCACTTGGTTGACCATTCACGCACCGTTCCCAAAATGGGGCAAAATCTACATCTGTGGCATAGAAACCTTTCATCTCTTGTAACCCGATAATTTCTGTTTAGAGATGCACCAACATTGCGAATCGCTTGCTAAAGGTATCTGCCACCCAGTTTAATTTTCCCGCTTTGTGCTGTAGCACAAATGTGAACTTTTACAAAAAAAAAAATGATCCAGCGGGTGTGCATTTGATTGATTTATTTCTGGTTGTTGAGGTATTGAAGGGCTTGGTTGTCACTACATAAGAAAAAATCTTGATGAAGGAGATAGTGCTCACATTACTTAATAGCTTGTATAACAACATATAACTCTTGCACGTACATTGACCATTTTTGATGAGCAGTGCTTAGCTTTACACTGAAGAACTCCACCGACTGAGTTTCTTGTGATAAAACGGCTCCGATGCCTACGATGGAGGCATCTGTATCTACATGGAATGGCTTCTCAAAGTTGGGTGAAGTAGCACATGAGCGGAACACAATGCCTCATTCATTGTGTCAAAGCTAGTTTGCTGCTCCGTAGTCCATTTGAAACTACTTGATTTCAAATAGTCTGTGAGAGGAGCCATTAGGATACTGAATCCCTTGATAAATCATCTATTAAAATTCACCAGCCTGTGAAAACTTTGTATGTCAAATAGTGACCATGGAGTAGGCCACCCTCAAATAGCTGCAACCTTCCTTGGGTTCACTTCTACACCATTCATAGAGAGTATAAATCCCAGGAAATGAACTTTAGATGTTGCAAATTCACACTTTGCCAAATTTAAGTATAGTTTATGATGCCGAAGAACCTGCAGAATATCAGCTAAGTGATGAAGGTGGCTTGAAATGTTACTACTAAATACAAGAATATCATCAAAGTAAGTGACACACATTTTTCTTAGAAAGGGTTGTAGCACCTCATGAATCAACCTCATAAATGTGGATGGTGCATTGTAAAGACCGAAGGGAATTACCTTCCATTCATATAACACCTCACTCACCTTTAATGTGGTTTTCTACTCATCTCTTGGACGTATGCGGATATGGTGGTAGCCGCTGCAGAGTTCCAACTTTGAAAACACCGTAGCTCCAGCCAAGCGATTAAGCAAGTCAGATAGCCGGGGAATGGGAAATTTGTATTTTATAGTAATTTTATTGATCGCTCTACTGTCAATGCACATTCTCCACTGACCATCCGTCTTAGGAACCAATAGTGCGGGTACGACACATGTGCTTAAACTATGTTGAATTAGTTGTTTGTCAAGTAGTTCCTCCACGATGTTTTATATGATAAAGCACTCTTTTGGATTCATTGGTAGTACGGAAGGTTCGATAATGTGGCCCCAGTAGATAATTCAATCTGATGTTGTATAGAACACAAGGGAGGCAGTTCTAACAGTAGTTCATTTGGGAGGATGTCACTAAAATTGTCCAACAACTTTCTTACTTCACTTGGGTACAAAGCAGTGGGCACCTCCTTGTGGTTGTCGGACACCACCAAGGCTAACAATGTCTTTATATCTTGCCGAGATTGTACCAATAGCTTACCAGAAGTGAGGAATACAACATTTGGATTCTTGTCTGCTCCAAGCCCTATGAAGGCCTGCGGGAATAACCTTGGTTTTTTTCACTTACAGTCCAATGTATAGACATTCTACCAGTAATTGTAAACATCATTTATATAGTATTGCCAAGGTCTACCCAAAGTGAGATGGAAAATGTCCATATCAATGATGTCGCATAGGACTTCACAAACATATTGTTTTTTGAAAGAAAAGGTGACACGGCACATGTTAGACACAGCCACTTCCATACCCTTTTGAATCCAACTATTTTTGTAAGGTTATAGATTGCTGGTCATTTACAACTACAAAGCTTGGAAGATAGATCGAGAGATGACATTCTCAGTACAACCAATGTCAATCATCATGTCACAAACCTTACCTTAGATGGTGCATATTGTTTTGATAAGTGCATTGCAATGAGATGCATTAGGATTTTTAGGCACTAGCAATAATTTTTGTAGAACACAGATGAGGTGTTTACCATCGTCACCATGAACATCTTCAATGCCTGCTTCAAATTCTTGCTTGGTGGAAACCTTCTCCCTCTTAATAGCTAAATTCGTTGCCGATTTGGACACTCATCGGACTTGTGCCCGGGCTGAAAACATTAAAAACATTTCATAGTGTTGGTCAACTATAAGGTTTTTCTTTGACAGGAACAGGCACCTTGTTTGGTTCCTTAGGTTTGGTAGTGATTTTGGAACTCAAATTAGGGATTGTAGCATTGGATGTTAGAGCAGAAGGAGGGGGACTTGGGGTTGTCACATTACACTGATTATGGTCTTTATATTGCTCCACATAAGACCTGCGCGAATAGAGTTGTTGTAAGAGTGGCAAGTCAGCGGAGTTTTAACTTTCAAAGTGAAGTTGATTACCTGCGTGAGTGTCCAAACATAGTTGAATTCAAGTTTATATTGTATCACATCTTTCAAGCCACTGATATACCTAGTGGTGAGCTGATTTTCTGATTCCTGAAATTATTTCGGGCCCTCAATCTGTAGAATTCCTTAGTGTGTTTGCTCATCGAGCACAAACCTTTAGAGCAGTCTTGGTACTGAACGTACAACATTTGCTCATAGTCGGTGGGTAATAAGTGCCTTCAAAGTAGTTGTTTCATGTGGAACCAACTGTGAATTAACCCCTTGCCTTCTCCACGATAGGATTGCATGAGTTGTAACTGCCACGTGTTGGCACCGCCTTTCAAACAACATGCAACATATTTAACCTACTTTTTGGGCTAATCTCCATGGACTTGAATACCTCTTCAATTTCTCGCTCCCAGTCGAGGTAATCTACGATATGTAGTTGCCCTTCAAAAAATGGAAAATCCAATTTGACCCAGAATTCGACTTGTCCGCCGTGCCTTGGTCCGCAAAACCTGGGGCGATTGTAATGTTGGATATGGCCTTCATCTTCTGAATCAGTGAAGTTTCCCTGTGGTTGATAGTTAACCTCCTCATCAAACTCCGAGAACTCCATAATAGCTGGATGATGTGGCTGGTGATGGCCCACTGCTCTAAGGGGAGCTCTCATAGTTGGTATCGGTCCAGGTTGGTGTTGACCTGGCACATAAATATTATTAATGGAGGTTTTGATATCCTTAATATCATTGCGTAGTTTCGTTGAGAGGCAAATAAAGTCCTCCCTTGGTTTATTTAATTGTCAAGTGATGCTAGCTTGCGCTGCCCACACATCATCCATGCTTCGATCATCATCGAAAGCCCTTCGAGAACTCTCTACAGCCATCTCCCGGATGCTGGCTCTGATACCAACCTGATGTATCTTACTTGAGATAAGTTGTCAGAGGTGAACCTTTCCTACGGATGATCATCGGAATAGACCTGCAAGAAGGTTAGGAAAAACACAATCCCAATGGAACAGTAGTTATAGAAGATAGTATTTTCATATATGCCTCTATTTTGGTGTTTGTGGGTATATATGTCATGTAGCACTACTAACTAACTTTCCATTTAAAACAAAGAAATTAAAAAGCTAAAAGGATTTGTGCATAACGAAAAGGGTAAAGCAACTAAAGTAGTGGAGTAGCAATGGTCTGTTATTCACGCAGCTTAGGATAGTCCCATCAAATACAGTAAGCTCTGAAATGTTTTTTCTGCGTCATATGCCTTTCTCAGCTAAAGTCTTTTATAGCACTGTAAAATGTGCTATTGTTGTCTTCATGGTATCATAGCAGGAGCTCTAATCAATAGCTGTCTCTCTGTGTTCAAATGGACCACTCATCCGGCTCTCAGGTGGGGAGCACAATATAGAGAGTCATATGGAACTGCCACGCTTCCCATATTCTCTTATATTGGTTCTCCCCCACATAAAAACATTAGTTCCTCTTCCCCTCTCAAGTGATAACTACTCACTGTGGAGATCCAAAATCCTTAAACTCCTACATGCAAACAGCTTCATCGTATACCTTGAGAGCAACACCTCATACCCTCTTGTCTTCTTCATCAGCTAGACAATACAACCATTTCTAACCCAAGATAAAATCAATGGTGTGTGGTAGATCAAAACTTGGATATCACCATCTGCTCCACCATATCGACAACCATTCTTTCCTGTGTCCTCCACCTAAACTGTTGTCCTGATATCTAGAACACACTCGAACAGAGGCTCAAAGCATTAAATCATTTCCGAGTCATCCAATTGAAGAACAAACTCCATTACATATCAATGAAGAATCTAACATGCAACAATACCTTACAGACATCAAGAGCTAGTCGACAACATTGCTGGAGAAGGATCAAAGGTTGAATTTGAAGATATCATATTATACGCTCTTAATGGTCTTCCCCCATATTATAAGGTGTTTAAAACTTCTTCCGCACAAAACTCTCACCCATAAGCCCCGAGAACTTATATTCTCTTCTTCTTAGTGAAGAGATAAACATTGTGGCTGAACTGTACAGAGAGCACTCATATTCGAACACTCAGACAGCCTTATACACATATAGTGGTAGAAGTCGACGAGGGCACGGACATTTCTCTCCAGGAACCAGCAATAAAGAGTAACCCGCCTCACCATTAATTTGTCAAATCTGCACCAAATGAGGACATTCTGCAACTCAATATTGGATTCATCTCAACGTTCGCTACAAACCTTCACCGACGACAACATCTCCAAAGGCATTACTAGCTGACAACTCTTCTCAATTACTTGACTGGTACATTGATTTAGGTGCAACATCGCACCTCACAACCAATCTAGACAACCTCCAACAGCCAACACAGTACACCGGCTCCGATAACATTACAATCAACAACGGAGAAACTCTTCCCATAGCTCACTCTGGTATAAAGATTCTTCCAACTCTGAATTATAAGCTATCTCTCTTGTCTTTCCACCATGTTCCCATCTTAAGCATAACTTATTATTAGTTTCAACTCTTACAAGTGATAATAATGTCTCTATTTCATTTTATTCATTCGGATTCACCATCACAGACTTACAAACCAACCAAATCCTGTTCATGGGACCCTGCAGAAATGGTCTCTACAAAATTAAATCATCATCTATAGCTTCCTCGTCCTACGCACTCTCTGCCATTACCTTCGATTCTCTCTCATGGCAACATCGCCTAGGTCATTCTCATCATCATGTCTTATGCACAATCACCCCACTACCTCACCCCTACATACTACATAGCAGCCATCCCGCACTTCCAGTGCCCCACCTCAACCAAAAATTATCCAAACCAGAAATCTCCTAATAATAACAAGACTAAGAACATGATCATTTAAACCAAAACAAATATTTAACCTATCCCACTCCCTCAACCCCACGCCACCTTCACCACTTGCCGACCCAGCAACTTACACATAAGCCACTAAGCATATTCAATGGCGTGAAGTAATGATCGGCAAATTTTTAGTTGTTCAAAATAGGGAACCTAGACCCTTGTATCTCCACCCCTGAACATTGAACCCCTTGGCTACAAATGGACCAATAACACAAAATACCACTCAAATGGTACACTCATGTGCTATAAGGTCTCCTAGTTCCTCAAGGCCACTGCTAAGAACCGAGCATTGATTACAATGAGTCCTTCAGTCCAGTCGCAAAAATGACATCCATTTGCATCATTCATACCTTTGCCCTCAACAAACAATGGCCCTTCCACCAACTCGACATGGGAAATAATTTCCTTCACTACACCTACTCCAAAAATGTTTACATGAAACAACCATATGGCTTTGAGGACCTTGCTCATCCACATGGTGTATGCCTATTACATAAGGCAATCTATGACCATAAACAAACCCCCAGACAATGGTTTAACAAATTCTGGCATTACCAATGTTGTAGACTAGAATATATGCGACGATAGAGTTAGAAAATTTTTGTCTCAGCGTTGTACGGATATCCAACACACAAACAGGAGAGAAATAAAAACACCAGGATTTTTATGTAGAAAACCCTGAAAGGAAAAAAACCATGGTGTCACACCCAGTTGAAAGAGTTCCACTAGTGTTTGCTTGAGGTACAAGATGCTGACTCGTCCTTAAAATTTAGGGCGATCATATTATAATGCTTCACTTCCGAATTGAAATCCAGTTATAAACAAGTTGTGTATTCGAGCTAAATTCAGAATCACTTAGAAATTTGGCATCACTTGGGCGTCGGGCGGCATCACATAGGCATAGTTTTGATGTCACCGGAAAGTCGAGCAAAATTCTGGCGTCCCGTGGAAGTCAGACAGAATTTCGGGCGGTGTTCGAGGAGTTTTTCCCTTCAATCCTTCTTCTCCTCTTCTTCTTATTTTAGCTTGGGTCCCCTCTCAAGAGAAATGAGGGGTTATTAATAATTTTTTGAGGCCGACATGACCCGTAAATTTGAGGAGGATAAAGGGCGAAGGTGGAGTGGTTCGGATTGACGGCCGATATTAAATCCCTTGATTGTTGACCATTTATCAGAAATTTGAAGGTCTTAGCAATATTGGAATTTGATGTTCTTGGGCTCGTTGGATTAGTCTCATTGAGCCGCTCAAATTGACTATAAGCATGTCATGTTTGGAAACCGTTTGGTAATCCAAATTGTGGTTTGAACCTTCCAACAATGCTTTGGGTCTTCGATTCAAACTCATTTGGGCTCAGATCGAGTTGAATTTGGTGTCGTTGGGTTCTTATTTCTGAGACGCTCAGTTTGACTATAAGTTTGCTGAAATCGGAGTTCAGGTGATCCCGGATTTAATTTTTGAAAATTTTTGGCTTGATTTTGGCTCGAGATTTGTGCCCGATCAAGATAATTTTTTGATGAATATCAGTTGCCCCCCTATTTTCGAACGTCGAAGCTCCAAGAGTCCGAAAATACGCCTCACAAATTTTGGAGAATTTTTCATGTGATTTGAAACTCAAAAATAATATGGCCTTTGGAGTAAAGGTCCCAACTGGTTTTAAAAGTGTCTAACTTGTGTCCGAAACGTTGAAAAACTGGTTGGGAGCCCAAAAATGTCCAATTTGGACTATTTTGGCTGTAAATCAAGCTCGGACGTGCATGCACCCGAGCCAAACTGCCGCCGTTTGTCGTTGCGCGTTGGATGGACATGCCCTTTGGGGCGTGCGGTATTAAGTAGAATTTATGTTAATATCTTGCACATGACATTGAGGCTTTGTTTGTTTGAGTGTTTTTTTGCCTTTTCCGTTTTTGGAAACGGATGATTTTTTATTTTTTTTTTGTTTGTTTGGTTCATCAAATCACGTTCCCAATAACTCATTTTTTTCAATTTTTTTCAGTTTTGAAAAAGCTTTTTATATATGCTTCTCCGTTAGAAAACTCCATTTTCTGAACTAATGTTTTTTAAAACTGTCTTTTACAAAAGCACTAAAAAAACAAACGAAGCCTGAGTATAATGTCTTTCTGACGTTTTTGCTCCAACATTTAATAGACAACTGTTAAAGGTTATTATCAGTTAGTTATAAAAAATCTTTGTAATATATAAAGGTTAAAATATTATTATATTATAAATTTTTTATTTCTCGCCTTTAATATTTTGATATCTTGATATCAAAGAGGACTTTATATGTTAAATTAGTTAATATATATCACTATTTAGAGAGGCGGTTAAATATTTTTTTTTTTTGGAAAATTAGGGGAAAACATGCCCAATATTCATTAAAGAATAAAAAATTTTACAAAATCAAAAGGTAATAAGAAAAATAAGAAAAAACTTACAACCCATTGAAAAGAAAAAAGAAACCAAACTAATCTCCAAACCCAAGAATAAAAAGCTACAGAAAAAAGAGTAGCTAAAAAAAAAAGATAAGAAATTAGCATTATAACTGCTGCTGAATACAAAAGGATGCTGTAACAAAACATTAACCAGCAGCTGTAGCAACATCAATCTCATAGAACTGCTACTGAAAACAAACGATGCTGTAACAAAACTTTAACCAGCAGCTGTAGCAACATCAATCTCATAACACTGCTGCTGAAAACAAAAGGATGCTGTAGCAAAACATTAACTAGCAGCTGTAGCAACATCAATCTCATAGAATAGGTAATCAGCAACATACAAAATTTG